GGGGGCCAGGCTCCAGGAAACCCGCCCCCCGACACCCAGGGAAAGGTGCGGGACCGCTCCTTGCCCCCCGCTCCCCGCGGCGGGGACACCCCCGCAGGCACAGCCCCGCCACACGGTCCGCCCCCGTGCCAGGGGCAAGTATCTCAGACCAGCGGGCTGGGCATTTCTGTAGATAATACACGTAAAAACCTATGTTAAAAAAGAATATATAAGTTCTGTCAAGTGTCAGGATTCTGCCACTGACTGGGCGCTGCAGCTTTTGCAAGCTCTGCGCTCCCCAGGTAACGGCAAAGCCACTGAAGGTGTGTTTACACACATCAACAGGGCCAGACCAAAGTTGCTAAATAAATTACAAAACCTCCAAACTCCGCAGTTTCAAGGTATGACAGCCGTTCCTCCCATTCAGGGCTACATTGGCATTTTAGCAACTACAAAACTGCATTTCAGCCACTACACAAGGTAGGTGAGACAGGAACAAGCCCTTCAACCCTTCACTTTCACTCTTCCTTCCTTTGGTGCTCCTCTCCTCCAGCCCCAGGGGTCTGCTGCCTTCCCCCTTGCCTTCACATCCCTCCACCTGAGGTCTTTGCTCTCCTCTCCCCTGTACCCCTGCCTATTCTTCTCCAGAGGCAGCTCTTCAGCACGTAGCTGAGATGAAGGAGGTTTATGCAATCACCATATTTATATGATGACATTTGAGACTAGAATGAACGAATGTTTTCTTTTTGTGAAGCACTTTTATTAGAAAACAAAAGACCACCACATTATGAAAAAGGTTGTATAACAAATATAGTCTCCGAAGTTTGTCAGAATCTTTCAAGTTGAAATTGAAATCTGAGGGTTGGGTTTTTTCCCCGCAAAGATCAGAACAGCTTATCTGAGTCATGGGTTTGTTCTTTTTTATAAACAGAATGTCCATGTCCAGAAGTTTTTGCAAGTATCTACATGAAATCCTATGACTGAATTTCATATCCCAAAGGATCCAGATCCTGGTCCAGAAGCATAAGAGAAGATTCCCTCAGCTTCTGTAGCAGCTTTCGGAGTTCTTCTTTTGAAAATACCTAAGAATAATAAAAAAACAACACAAAGCCATAATTAAGTTGTATTTATTTGCCATTAATAGAACTGATGTAAAAGTAAATGGTGGTTAAATAAGTTACTTTTTTTTTTTCCCTTTCTTTCTAATTTAAGACAGTGTGAACATCAGACATTGTGGAAGGGCGTTTAGTAAAGGACTGGAAGTAAGTAGCAGTATCCAAAACCTGAAGGTAGTCCCAAGAGAGCTCTGTCTCATAACTACTACAGAGATTATTGGTAAACAGCCAAGTTTAATTTTCCTATTATTACTGGCAGAGATCTTGAGCCAATCCAGGTGAATACATCACATTATTTTTCCTAGCCTTGACGTTTCTTCTCAGATTTCTAATCCTTGGGGTGTTTTTTCGGGGGGGAGATTTTTTTTTTATTTGGGGAGTTGGGTTTGTTTGGTTTTTTTACATGATAAAGTTGTTTTTCAGGCTTTTGGAAGGAAAGGTTAGGTGAACCAAGTGCTCCAAAACAAAACCTGCTTATACAATGTTCTGAAATGTAATGGAAATTAAAAAAATTAAATCAATTACAATTCTACAGCTTAACATAGAATCATAGAATCCTTTAGGTTGGAAAAGACCTTTAAGATCATTGAGTCCAAGTGTTAAACTTATTTCAGTAGCCCCCATCTAAAAATTAGTAACTGCAGTGCTCAGAAGAACTGCTTGTCAAAGCACCGGCATCATCTTCTCTGTTTTGACAAGCAGTGCTTAAGCAAGAACTGAACTTAAGCAAAGTTAACTCTTTGGTTCCTTAAGTCAGCACGCAAGGCAACCCTTCACCACTGCAGTGAATGGGAAGAGATAAAGAAACTTATAATGTTAAGGAACATATGGCGCCTTCCTCTCTATATAGAAGCTTTTTCCAGAGTCAACCCACAGAGCTCTCGGATGGAAGTTAAGCTGCCTGCAGCTCTCAGTCACTCACCGTATAAAGCTTGTGTCGCTCAGAAGCGACCATGTCAGCCAGCCGCAGGCACTCCTGGTACTGCCCGGTGCTGTGTAACACCGTGTGCAGCAAAAAGCACATCATCGGCAGGCACAGCTTCCGCAGCAAAATCATCTGGTGCGTTCGTTCCGGATCATCCTCGACATCCTTACCGCAGCAAAATAACGTATTAGTATTATGAACATTTACCTTTAAAAGGCAACTCAGCATAACCACATAAATCAGTAGTGTCAGAGGCAAAAAAACTGGACGAACCAGCCTGGACTGGACAGCCAGGTCCCATTTACGTGGTAACTGAAGGGGAAGCAATCTGTAACCGGTCAGGGCAAAGCCAGAGTGAATTGTAACAGAGCAAACAGAAGGACATCCAACTAAGGGTGACAAAGGTACAACTGGGTACAATCCGCGCTCTGTGGCCTACACCGTGATACAAACATTCATTTTACCTCTCTAACATCCACCATCCATCCTCCGTCGACAAAGAGCAACACGTTGTACATTTTCTCTTTCACATCAGCTGTAAGAGCATCCAGGAGGCCTTTCCAAATACCATAGTCCATCTGGCAAAGCAACAAAAAATAAACTGCTGCAGAACAGGATAATTTCCAAGGCTATTTTAACACACACGGCTCACCTAGCATGCAACAGCCAGCGCAGCTCCAATTCAAATTAGAATCTTTAGCCAACTGCCAAAACCTAAAAGCCTGCTGCTAACAGCTATTTCCATCCTTGCTTAATTCCCTGTTCCCAGAGTCAGACAGGTTGTTCAGAAGCAGTCAAAGCCACTGGAGGAAGATAATTTTAAACAACTTAATTCTGCCAGGCTTATGTAAAATGCTTGTATGAACTGAATACAGTATATTCATACCGGCCAGACATGCAAAAACAACTTTCGGCAAAACAAACAAAACCGCAGCATCTTTTAGAGAAGAAACTGTGGCGAATGCAAGAACACAGAACAGCCTTCATCCTCCACTTCCAGGGAAGAGCTAATAGCAAAATCAAGTACTCAGATTTACTAATAACACTGACAATCAACACATTATAACGAATATTTACTATTACATTATACAATACTGTCTGTAAAGCTGAGTCATGTAAGAAAAAGCAAGATAATTTATTGCGCAGTGGCATTACTATTCTATCTCATACTCCCTCTTTTCAACATAAAACTGGAATAATTTAGAAGAGAGTTTTCAAGCAATATGAATTAGCAGTCTTCTACTCCCTTTCATTAAACTAAGACTGCCTCCTAAGCAAGAATGTAAATGTTTATAGAATCATAGAATCGTCTAGGTTGGAAGAGACCCTTGGGATCATCGAGTCCAACCATCTACCCTACTCTACAAAGTTCTCCCCTACACCATATCCCCCAACACCACATCTAAACGACTTAAACACATCCAGGGACGGTGACTCAACCACCTCCCTGGGCAGCCTGTTCCAATGCCCAACCACTCTTTCTGTGAAAAATTCTTTCCTAATGTTCAGTCTAAACCTACCCTGTTGGAGCTTGAAGCCATTCCCTCTCGTTCTGTCGTTAATTACCTGTGAGAAGAGACCAGCACCAACCTCTCTACAGTGTCCTTTCAAGTAGTTGTAAAGAGTGATGAGGTCTCCCCTCAGCCTCCTCTTCCTCAAACTAAACAGTCCCAAAATAGTTTGGTATAGTAAACTATACCCAATATATAACAACATAAACTATTGTTATTTACTATAACTATAGTTATAGTAAATAACAACTTGAACTTTTACATACCTCGTACTTCTTTTGTTTATGCTCATGGGCCACTTTTTCAGTGAAACTTGCTTGTGGTAACAAAGAAGGCTTCTGTGGAGCTGAGTTCATGTGTTTAAACCATTCGTTAAAGGTTTCGTGGGCTTCCTGGATTGCATCGGAAACAATGTTTGGACATTTTTTATTCTTATTATTACAAGAATGTCATTAAATGCACAACTTTAATGCATCCAGGAATCAGAAGTTAAATCAAATGGACAAAGTTTAAAGTTTCCCCACCAAGGCAAAGCCACCATTATTTCTAAGTAATAACTTGAAATACAGCATAGCTGAAACTCACCAAATATGCCCGAATACATAAATGTTCCCGTATAGCGTTGTCATCTTCAGCTGGAAGTGGAGTATCCATTCCCTGTTCTTCCCATTGGTTATATATTTCTGCTATAGAGTCTTGGGGAATCTTCACAAACACATCTTTGGCAGCTTCATGTTTCTTGGATGCTATAAAAATGTGAACTGAGTATCAACAGCGTGGCAATTTCCATACTTCACTTCTACAAACTGACAAGCCCTTGCTTTTTAATAGACTAGATTCAAAGCTATATCAAATGTAGTGCCAAGAGCTAATGAGAACAAAAACAACATTTAAAAAAATCTACAATATTTGTCAAGCTTAGTACCCAA